AACTTCACTAAACACTTTATTCCGTATAATAAATCGCCCTTGTTAACCCGCGCGACGACCGATGCGGTATGGAATTCTTATTCGTTTTTTTCACCATATTGTATGGGTTGGCGGGGGTTTTTTTACGGGACCAGATGCCAACCTGACCCCAACCTTCCTCCTTTCTCATTTGGGCTTGGGACCGGCAACGGCGGAGTTGTTGTTGTTGTTGTTGTTGTTGTTGTTGTTGTTGTTATTATTATTATTATTATTATTATTATTTGCAAGTAATTTATAAACAGAAGTCTAAAACCCTGTGTATTTTGATGAAAGCAACTACGAACAAACACCTTTCTATCCATTGTTTCTATCCATTTATCCATGATAATGCAGCACAGTTGTTTTGGTACATGTAGAAGTCTGGACAGAAACACTGATGGTTACCAAAACATCTCAACTACATTCTAAGTCATCTGTATGCTTGTGAAACACAACAGGTTTACTTAATCCCAGACAGTATCACCAAATGTTGATCAAAGTACATAGATCAAATGAGAAACCAGTTTTCAAAAATTGGTAAAGTATATATGTAACACACTTCAAAATAAGCAATGTGTAAAATGCAAAGAAGAATAAGATGTATTAAATAAATGTCATTCAAGAAAAAAAGAAAGGGAAAGGAAATCTAAATCATTTACATCAACACCATTCACCAGTCCTTTCTGTTTACAAATCAGCTTTGTTTCCATCACATTTGTATATCTATTGCCACAAGACTTTTCTATGAGCTTCTTGCCTTTCTCAACGATCAGTTCTATTTAACCATGACTTTCTCAATCATTCTCTTCTCAACCATACTTTAAGACCATGATGGCACACGTGCCACAGGTGGCATGCGGAGCCATTTGTTAGGGCATGCAAGGCATTGCCCTTTGGCCTTCTTTTAAGACCATTTTTCACCTTCTGGAGCCTTCAGTGAAGCCTCCTGAAGGCTCCGGAGGGTGAAAAATGGCCCTATCGACAAACCAGAAATTACCGTTTCCAAACTTCCAGGTTGCCCATAGGACTGTTTTTCACCCTTCTGAAGCCTCCCGGGGGTTGGGGGGGCGGAGCCTCTAGAGCTTAGGGAGGCAAAAAAAGGTCACCAAAAGCGAGAGGTGTTGCGCTTGCATAGCATTATGGGTGTGGGCACACCCGCGCACAACCCCCCCTGCTCTCCTCCTGCTTTTGGCACGTGATCCAAAAAAGGTTAGCCATCACTGTCTTAAGATATTGAATCTTCATTCGTTTTCTCCAGCTAATTACATTTTTTGTATTTGATCCATTAATTAATTCAGCACCCATTCATTCTTCACTCTATCTCTTGTCCTGCCATAACATTTAAATACCTTATTCAAATTACCTTTAGGTTTTCTTGACATACAGTACATGACTCTCACTTCCATATAAAAATTGAACTGTAGCAAAAATGTACATTCCTCAAACCACAGGACTATACATGCCATCAAATTTTGAATTTTCAAACATGGAAAAAGATACCTGATAATATTTGAAATATGCATAGTCCAGAACTGTCCCCATTGCAGTTCTACCCTCATCAACAAGAGCAATTGGCAGCAACATATCTGCACCTCCTGCTATTAGAGTATCAATCTAAATAGAGAAGAAAATAAATGTAAAACATCAAGAGTCATATGCAGCCATTTCCTCCAATGTTACATATAGACAAATCAATATAGTCCAACCTGAAGGTCATTGATTTATTGCTAGCATTTATATAGAAATAAGGCATAACTATACACATGACCCAACTTGTCTTTAGGAAGATGAACACAATTCAGTTAATGTTTACAAGCGTTTACACACATCTACAAACCTAATAACATTACTTAATTACTTACGTTAATGTTACTTACATTAATCATGTAAAAGCAAATTTGTTAATGTTTCGATATCTTCTTAAGCCATTATGTTACGATGGGGAACTGAAGTTCTGGATAATTAGATGTATAATTTAATTTGTGTTAAAATTGAACCACAACCAAACTTAATATGGGAATATAGAATTTTTTTGCTTTGTGAGTTATAGATGAGGTTTTTTATATAAATGATTATTTATGTAAGTATACTAGGAAGACAGACAGACAAATTGGAGCCATCAGTTTGTCAATGCCGTCTACTGTTCACTCAACCCCCTTGGTCTCTCAGTCATCCAATATGCTGACTTCCCCCTGTAACACTAAAAATCTGCATCAGCTCTATTTCTGATTCTTTGATCCTTGAGACTTTTCCAGCCTCTTTTCTTACTTTTTTCCTCAATTCATGGTTTTTCCATCCTGCTTTATCATAATAATGACTTTTATTTTATTTTACTTTTGTTTTGAAAGGAGGTTAGAAAAGTTTACAATCTTTAAATAGAAAAGAGTAACCAAAAATGCAAGACTCTTCTTACCATCGCCATCTTAGCTGCTATTGTCCCACGCTGTTCATATGGAGGATTAACAACAGCACACAAGGCACTTCCAATACTTTGACCTAAAGGTAGATTTGGGTCAGCTCCACCAGCCAGAAGTTCAGTTACTGCCTAAATGTGGGAGAAAGAAAAGGAAATCTTTTTAAACATTCTCCTGAATATTATTGTTTCAGATCTGGGTATAATTTGCCTGAGCAAATTTTGGGCAGGGCTAAAAATGGCCAACATAATATTTTTATTAGGGATTTAAAGAGAGAAATAGATGTCCATGAACTGGCTTCCACATTCTTAAAGCAGTGATTTCATCCATTAAAAAAATCACCAGCACAGGGAGTTCTACATGGTTTCAGATAAAGGCACAAAACTATTTTCCCTGCTTCTCCCTTTGTTCTTGTCTGCAGCTAAATATGAGGGTCACACCACAATAAGGGACTAATTAGATAGGACAGGTCTTTCAACAATAATGTCCTACTCTGGTGTAGTAGAGGGTTCATAGGATGAGCTAAGGCAAGAATATGGTGAGAAATGTCTAATTTCGCTTGTTTGCAGCCAAAGGCCAAAGAAAGAAACTGCTTTGCACTGAAACTGTTATGTAAACCTGATTTTTTGTATATACCATATTTTTATGAAAATAGCAAACCTAGGTTAGGACTTGCTGAGGAATGGATGGCACTGTTAAACCTTCATATAATCCATTTTAGGAACAAGCACAAGTCTTTGGCCATGAGATACACTTTTTAACTATTACTATTATCATCAGACTCCATGGGCTGCATCAGAAAATAAACACACATTAATACATATTCATATGTATACTCATATTTTTGGAAGGGTATTATGGCATGGCATGATGAGCTATTTATGAACTGAATCATTCCTCTCCATCATCTTTGTTAAGAAATATCAAATAAATGATATTTATTAATTCATTTATTTCTATTTATCCATTCAATTAATACTGTTGTCTACTTGACAGATGATTCAGGGTAGCATCATCCAATGACTGAGAGAAAAGCCAGGTCTTTCGACACTTTCAGAAGGTAGGCAGGCTTTCAAAATTTTAGCAAAATTCTATGATATTAATTTTATCTTTATGTAATATCATTGTATTTATACTTTCTTTTTAATATTTTAAATAATTTTAGGTGTATATATTTTATGCAGTGGTTTTTTTTTGCCTAAATGCCATGGTAGAGGTTTGTGTTGTTATTGAATATAACATAGGACATAAAATAACTATTTTGAAATAAATAAATCCATAATCCAATTCACAATTAAAATACAAAAAATAAGTTACAAATAATTTGACATTTGTGTGGCACTGTCAATTGTCAAATGGGACTACAGGAAGAAGAATTCAACTTCCTCTGCCAATGGAGAGATCTGGATCCTTTAATATCACCAATTTCCTAAACACAAAAACAGGAAAACTAACAACCAAATTCCTAATAATATGAACATTACCACGTATGGATAGCATGACTGTAAATGGTTGTCATTGAATCAATAGATTTGTAGCTCTTACTAATAGTGTTGACTATAAATAAATTATTTGAACCATATAGCTGATTACAGATCAGTAACAACACGTCTCAAAATATATGCATATATTTGTAACTTTTCATATGCTTCAAGGACTCTTTATTTTTATTTATGTTCTAGCATCATTGAATATATTACCTACAAATGTTGACATAAGGATTGGAAACACTGCCCTGAGTTCGCCACAATTAAAATGATTTTGAAAGAATGCTTACAACTGTTATTAAAAATGCTTGGAAAGACAGACCTGTTCATTTCCACCAGCAACTGCTAGTGAAAGAGGGGAATGGCCACTCCACAAGACATTTGGATTTGCATTGTGATCTAACAGAAGATTAATAACTTTTCCAGTATTCTGATGGGGAATAAAGCAAAAAAACAGATCAGTACAGATATTGTTTTTTAATTAAAATAAAGAGTAAGGACAAATTTAAATAAGGTATTTAAGTTAGCCCACATTTTAAAATTCAAAGCAAAAATATTATACCTATTTTATCCTGAAGAAAAAAAGCTGAAGCTGGTTCCAAATTGGACATTTACTTATGCCTGTGCATATAAGCATATTCAGATCAGAACAAGATATCAAAATCAAGGATCTGGTGCAATGAATAAAGTCACAACAATAAATAATATATATTTTAGACTGCTTGGCAGATATGGGAATTTATGAATGCTGTCGACATTTTGTCATGCAGTCACCTCCAATTCTTTGTGCCCTGCTGGACATCACTCTGTCAGTGTTGCTTGCTTCTCTGAGTTCTTCTCAGCTCATGCTTGTGTTGTCAGTGGTTTCAAACCACTTTGTCTACTGTTGACCTTCTAATGCAGAACTTATCCTGCTATGGCTCATCAATAGAAGAAGCAACTTGTTCTCTTTTCATGCACAGATTTTCTCTCCCTATTATAATGAGTACATCATTCCAAGAACACTTATGGGATCAAAATCAGATTGAAAAGCACATAAAATGCTACTTGAAAGAAACTATAGAGGTTTTCCTCCAAAATAGTGCATCTTTAAAATGAGAGATTTTTTTTACATTTCCTCACATAATAACTAGGTTGCAATTGCATCCTTTTGAACAGACAGGACTTGCTTGGCTGATATTTTGAACAAAACTTCAAAACTTTTCACCTTTTCTTCTTTTACTCTTGTATGTGTACATACCTGTATAATCTAATTTTAGTCATTCATATATTATAGCCAAATTTGTAACCTGCTACAATTATACATACACATTTTCTCATCTCTGCCTTTACTTTCTTTCGCCTGTACACTCCACAGTAGTTTTTCCTTTCCTTTAAACCAGTAGGTCTCAACCTTTAAACAAGTTGGTCTCAACCTTCTTAATGCCTTTACTACAGTTCCTCATGTTGTGGTGACCCCCAACCATAAAATTATTATATGTTTTCCGTATTTTTTTGAAAATATGTATTTTCCTATGGTCTTAGGCGACCCCTGTGAAAGGGCTGTCACCCAAAGGGGTGCCGGCCCACAGGTTGAGAACCACTGCTTTGAACAATTAAATAAAAGTTATGCAAATTATTACAACAGTTGCACTTAAAGCATGAGGAAGAGCTATTTCTGTTATCTTTTAAAATTAACATTGTCTTCTGAAAAAGCTAGGCTCATAAACTGGAGTGCTCAGCCCTTGAAGAAAGGGTCACAGCATTAAGAAGGTTGAGTTCCCCTTTCCAGGAACAAAAAGAGCCACTCCTACTCAACAAAACCAATCTGGGATAGATAATTTTCAATAAGATAATTACTGCAGCAGCAGTAGGACATAAACAGAGGAGAGAGACCATGCCATATAATTATCTCCCCAATAACTTTAGCAATCCTGTGGTATGTATCTTTATTATATCTTAACCTTCACATAGGCATCTCAGGATCCCTGTAGACAACAAGAAGGGTAGAATATAAAAAAGGAATTAATAAAAAGCAGTAGAAAGGTTGGACCAAATGAATAATTTACTATAAATAACAACAGAAAAAAAATCACTAAAGAAGGTAATGAAACAACAACAACAAAACAGCAATGGCCACTAGTAAAATAGGCCAACAGTGAAGGTAATAGGACCAAGACAGAAAAATCAACTCTTGCTGATTTCAAAATACAATAAAACAAAACTTTGAAATATTTAAGAACATTAAATAATATTGCTCAGAATTTTTTTAAAAAGTTTATGTTCTGTTTACTGCAACATTTCAGTGTGCCTACCATCCCTGTCCTAATATTCCCTTGTATTCATATTCATTTCATGTATACATAATCATATTTATACTTATATCTGTTATCTAATTCATGCTTGATGAAATAAATAAAATAAATAAATATACCCTATTAGTTGAGATTGTATGGACATCAAAGCAAAAATAAATTCCTTGACTTA